GAGTGCAATGGCGTGATCTCGGCTCACCGCAACCCCTCCGCCTCCTGGGTTCAGGCAATTCTCCTGCCTCAGCCTCCTGAGTCACTGGGATTACAGGCATGCGCTACCATGCCCGGCTAATTTTGTATTTTTAGTAGAGATGGGGTTTCTCCATGTTGGTCAGGCTGGTCTCGAAATCCTGACCTCAGGTGATCTGCCTGCCTTGTCCTCCCAAAGTGCTTGGATTACAGGCGTGAGCCACCGTGCCCAGCCTCAAAGCTAAAATTCTTTAACCCCTGTGCCATTGCATGATGTGGCCTGGAAGAGGGGAGCGAAAGAAACCAATATATGCTAACACTTTATTGAATTACCTCAGGAACCACTATAGAAACCCTACAAGGTAGGTTTACTAATCCCATCTAGAGATGAAGGAACCAAGACTGATGAATGTTGCCCAAGGTCACAGAGCCACGAAGTGGCAAAACCAGGATGTGAACACAAGCCCGTGCAAATCCAAATCTCAAGTCCCCTTTTCACCATACCATAAGAGACTTGTGGACTAATCCCAGGCACTCTGCACAAAATATTACTAAGACAAAAGGAATGGTAAATTGGGGACTAGGCCAAGCCAATAATGCCCTGACCAGGGATAGGAAAGGTAGAAAATAACCCAATTTTCAAAAATTACAAAATTCACAAATTTTTAAAAAAATACAACTCTCCAGTTTGAAGGATTCACCATCATCCCCCCACCCTCCCCCCAACTTCTGCACTCACCGGCAGTTTAGTGAGCGGTGCATTGCTGACATGTTTGCCAAAAACTTCTTCCTGAAATTGTAGCAACTGTACAACCAGGCTAGACAGGGACTTGTTGGTGGGTGGTTCAGCTTGTATATACTAGGAAAAAAGAGGGAAAGAAAACAAAAATAGACCCCAGATGAATTGTCCACTATCTCCCATATTTCTTCCCCAGGCGCTCTGGAAGCATTTGGAGCAGAGAAAACAGTGCCTTTCACTCCATTTAGTCTCTATAAAGAAAATGGCAGAAGGGAGGCCCTGGACACCCCAACCAGGAAGCTGAAACACTGCTGCCACCAGCCCAGGTTGCCAGTGTAGGGGGAAGAGGGAAGCTTACTACTCATCCTCAGCTACACTCTGAAATTGGAGTTGCAGGACCCTATTACTTTGGCACCTCATCTTCAGCCCACAGCACTGAGGGCTGTAAAATTCTGGAGGTTTATAGAGATCAGGTCATGGAAGCAATACCTTTGGGGTTCTAAGAGAGACAAAAGTGTATTTCTTAGGGGAACTCTGTGTAAAGCCGTGATTCCCCCTATAATGGAGCCTAACAAGAAAAGGTCAAGGAAGAGAAGGAGGGCAAGCTGACTGAGAGAGTGAGCTTGTGCATTTTGCTTCTGAAGAATGGGTATAAACATCTTCATAGGCCCTCTTAGACAGGAAGGGCCATCAGCTACTTAGCCTAATGGAGAAGAGCAAGACATCTACCCTGTCGGGGGAAACTATATCTGAGACAAGTAACCCTGGCCCTGCTTCAATGTTTCCACACTATGCTACCTAGTAGCATCCTAGCCTTCCATTCTAATTTGAACCTGAGCCAGGAGACTTTCTTTTTACCTTTTGACCTGTGTTCTCCACCCTCATCACAAAGCAGACAGCACCTCTCAGTGAGAGGTGAAAAGAGATCTGCGAAGGGAAAGGTAAATGACAAAGAGCTAAGAGCATGGAAGCTGAACCAGGTCACAGTTGTCAATCACCCCAAGGCCACAGGCTAAGCCCCTAGCCTGATCTCCCTGCAAAAGGTCAAAAGGCCTGGGAACAAGAGCCTCACAAAGGGGCAGAGACCAGCCATAGAAACAGCAGCTATTTGTCAGGATTCTGACACCCAGAGAGACCCCGAGGGCAGGGCTAGTCTCATAACCAGGATCAGTAGGAAGTTCTCCTAAGCCACTAAGCACACTTCTGACGAGTTGCAAAGCCGGCAGGAAGAACCAAGGAGCTGAAAGAAAGCCACAAAGAGAACCCCTTTCTGGGAGTAGTGAGAAAGAAGAGACAGACCATTTCCAGAGAAAACCAGGCCTAGAGACAAAGACGACACCAGGAAGAGGTCTGGTAGAAAAGACAGGTAAGGATTCCTGAACCCTTTGTTCACTACCTTATGATCTCCAGTTCTGGGGTTAGGGGGTGAGGGGCTAGAGATAGAAAGCTCACCCTAACCTCTGGACCCCAAACCCAGGGTATTGCAAAGCTAGGTTGCAGGGTGACTTTATTGTAAAATCGAGGAAAGGTTTCAGAAAGGGCCGCTACCCAGGAACTCCTATACCCTGGCTCCCTGAGAGATTCTGTTTCCCCTTAGATGAAGGTGGGGGATGAGCGGCAGAGACAGGTGATCCCAGGGTGGGGACCTTTTTCAGGCTGATGAGCAGCCAGCGGCTTGCTGTGTGACTGTTTACCCTCCTGCCTTCCATCCTCTGTCTCTGAACATACACAAAGCACCGGGGAGGCCTCAGCCCCGCTGGTACCTGGCTCCGTGGGGAGCTCTGGCGGGCACGCTTGGGTTTGCGGGGGAGCTCACTGGGCACCCGGTCCACTCCCGGCCGGCCGCCTCTCCCAGAAAATCCAGGAGGGCGATGGCTGAGGGGGAAGGTGGGCTAATGGCATCGGGGCCCGCCGGGCAGTGGAGAAAAACAAGGGGCAGAGGGCGCAGCAGAGAGGGCGGGGGCTGGGCTCGGAGGCTGGGGGTGCGGGGAGAGGGAGGCTGGGGGAGGGGCGCGGGCGCGCGGGAGGGCGCGCGGGGGGCTGCTCCCGAGGCCGCGGGGGAGGGGCCGGGGCGGCTGGAGGGTGGGCAGGATCCTGGGGCTGCAGGGCCGCTGTCCCTTTGTCCCGCCCCCGGTCGCCGCGCGGCCCGGCCCGGCCCGCGTACCTTCTTGTAGTTCTTGCCGAGCCACAGCCGCACGTTGTCGAACTGGGTCACGGTGTCCGCGGCCTCATAATACTTCACGTTGGGGCCGCCGTCCTTCTTCCGCACCGCCATCTTCTCGGGCTCGGGCCCCGCCGCCGCCCGCCCCACTCAGCTCAGCTCCCGCCTCCTCTGCCTCCTCCTCCGCCCGCCTCCCGCCGCCTCCCGCCGCCGCGGCCGCCGCCTCCCGCCGCCTGGGCCGGCCCCGGTCCGCGCTGCGCCCCCTGCCGGCAGGCCGGGCGCGGCGGCTGAGCTCCCGGCGCGGGCCGACCCTGGCGGCCTCCCCGGCAGCGGCGGCGGGAGCCTCCGGGGAGGAGGACGCTTCCTGGAGGGGGCGCCATTCTCCAGAGATAGTTCTTTGCAGACGCGAAGCCCTGTCCCTCTTTTTGCCTCAGCTCGGCAGTGTCACCTCGCCATCCCACCCCGGGCGGCTGTCCGTCCCCAGAGGAGCCCCAACCCGTAGCCCCGAGTGGCTCTCACCTTGCGCATTCCTAACCCCACGGAGCCCCTCGTCCTCCAAAACCCCAAACCCCTTTCCCCAAGAAGTTCCTTCCTTCCATCCATTCCCAGGAGCTCCCTATTTAAACTCTTCTGAGTCTCCCTCACCTCTCGCGCCTGGTCCCACCCAGCACCCCCCTCACTTGTTAACCCAAAAGTTCCCTAGCCGCCACCCTGGGGCCCCAGTCCCTTCCCTCGGCTGCATCCTCCGCAGGCCTCGCCATCGCCTCCTACGTAGGTGTGAGCTCCTTGAGACCTCGCTCTTCGCTAGGCGGGAGACCCTCCCTCCCTGGGTCACCCCGTTCATCCGACTCTTTTTCTTTGAGTGGCGTAGATGGGAGGTAAGGAGCTAGGGGTGGGGAGTTCTACGGTGTGTGTTTCGCGGCCGGACCTCTGCTTCCCGTTCTCGTATGCCTTCGCGGGTTGCAGTGCGGACCCCTTCTGTAAGCGCGCGGCAAAGCGTGGTTTTGGAAGTCACGGTGGCCGAGTGGTTAAGGCGTTGGACTCGAAATCCAATGGGGTTTCCCCGCACAGGTTCGAATCCTGTTCGTGACGATGGCTTTTTTATTTTATTTTATTTTTGAGACGGAGTCTTGCTCTGTTGCCCAGGCTGGAGTGCAGTGGCGTGACCTCAGCTCACTGCAACCTCTGCCTCCCGGGTTCAAGCAATTCTCCTGCCTCAGCCTCCCGAATAGCTGGGACCACAGGAATGTGCCACCAAACCTGGGTAAATTTTGTATTTTTAGACGGGGGTCTCACCATGTTGGCTAGGCTGTTTTTGAACTCCTGACTTCAGGTGATCCGCCCGCCTCAGCCTCCCAAAGTGCTGTGATTACAGGCGCGAGCCACCGCGCCTGGCCTGATGGCGACTTTTTAAACCCCCTTCCCAACATGTAAAGGTAACCCTAGTTCTCGCACGTGTCTTTTGTGCACTTTTCCTTTCTGTCTCCAAAGGGGAAGCTGCCAAAAGGTCTTACCCCTGGATTTGGGAGGATGGGAGTGATCTTGGGAAGCTTAATTATGCACGACTGTATTGGCTGCTAGACTGCAAGGCATTTTCAGAATTTTATAACTTCAGGCTTGGTAGGAGAGCTTTGCCACATGTCTCATTTTTTTGAGGGCATAGAGAAGGATTTGTTTGAAGGATTACATTTTGTCTGGGAATGTGAGTGGCTGTTTTGCAATATTAGTCAAACCTAGAGTTTCCTCTGAATTTTGTGACCAGAGGTCACACCTTGTAGGTCTGATTACACCAAACAGGGCATTCTCTCATCTGGATTTCCTTGAGGTGTACAGGACTAGAAGGGAATAGCCTATTGAAACATCACTGCAGATCCAGCTAGAGCTAAGTTGTGAGAAGATAATTCTTACTTTTTATTGAATGCTTATTGTGTGCCAGGTACTATTTTAAGTTATCTGTATGTATTAACCAAGCAAGGAAATTAATCTCATCTTTAACCCCCAACCCTCTTATACTCGTCTTACCCTATTTTTCTTATTCCCTAATTTCTGATTGTGGGGAGAATCTAGGCTGCTTGTTGAGGATTTTGTTGTTGTTTCGGAGGGTTGTTTTTGAGACAGGGTCCCGCTGTGTCGCCCAGGCTGGAGTACAGTGGTGAGATCTCGGCTCACTGCAGTCTCAAACTCCCAGGCTCAAGTGATCCTCCCTCCTCAGTAGCTAGGACTACAGGCATGCACCACCACACCCAGCTAACTTTTTGTATTTTTAGTAGAGAATGGGTTCCAGGATTTCACCATGTTCCGCAGACTGGTTTCAAACTCCTGGACTCAAGCAATCCACCTGCCTTAGCTTCCCAAAATGCTGGATTATAGGTGTGAGTCACCACACCTGGCCAAGGATGTTCTTTTTGTACTTCTTGCACAGGCTTTTCTCCAAAAAGAATCCCAAAGGGCACTGGGCTCAAGGGTAATGCATAGAGCTTTCTACACATTTATACCTTACAGTTTCCCACCTTTATACCACTGCTCGGGCTGTTCTTTCCAGCATGACCCTCACACCACCTCCCTGTCCCTCACCATTCACTTTCCAAAATCGTTTAGACCCCTCCTCTCTGATGATCTTGATCACTCCAGCTACCTATCAGTCCACCACCATCACCATTCACTGAATTGCATAAAAGGACTCTCCCTTGATATGCTAACATAAATATAAAATAAAAACGGGGCCGGGCATGGTGGCTCACACCTGTAATCCCAGCACTTTGAGAGGCTGAGGCAGGCGGATCATGAGGTCAGGAGTTCAAGACCAGCCTGGCCAACAGAGTGAAACCCCATCTCTACTAAAAATACAAAAATTAGCCTGCATGGTGGCAGGCACCTATAGTCCCAGCTACTTCAGAGGCTGAGGCAGGAGAATCACTGGAACCCGAGAGGTGGAGGGTGCAGTGAGCCAAGATCCCACCCCTGTACTCCAGCTTGGGCAACTCACAGCAGCGAGACTCTGTCACACATACAAAATGTAATAAAATAAAATAAAAACAAATTCAATTTATTCTACCTTCTAAATGTGTCTCAAATCTACTCACTTTTCTCAGGGGTGAGCACAGGCTGGGCTAGAGCCTTCATTTGGAAAGTAGTGGTGTTTGTGAGGACCATACGAGGTAATACATATAAAGCTGCACTAAAGCATCCACACTGCAGTCCAGGACCTTAAACCCTGCCATGGCTGCTTTCTGTGTTGCAGGATATGACCCCTTTTTTTCCACCACTCTTCCATATTCACTACATTCTGTCCACTGGCATTCTTTTAGTTCCTGGTAGTTATTTGGCCTTGCTCATGGTGTTCTCTGCCTGGAATAATCTTTCTCTTCCACACTTTCTTTCTATTCATTCTCTACCTAAATGTTGGTTTTCCTGAGGAGTCTTCTCTGACCCCTTTTTGCCCACCATATCCTATGCCC